TATGAATAACTTTGGAGGGAATCAATCTCCACAATTACAAGCAGTTAATAATAGTAATGGCATAAAGGGATCGGCATTTATTGTTTTATCAAAATTGGTTAGACGATTTGATAAAAAATCCCTAGAAAGACAAGTAGGAAGGGTTGTTCCATTAGCCATTAAGGTATTGTGTGTACTAACAATATGGTAGTAAATAATAATATTATTTCTTTCCAACTAATCGTTTATTTACTATAGGGTTTTAATGACACAAAACCTGAAATACGAAAAGCTGTGGTTGATGCAATCGTTGCAATATATTCCGTAATTGGTGACGATAAAACTTTTTTTCAATATTTAGGCAGCCTAAGTCCTTCGCAAAAAAATTTATTAAATTATTATTTTGACAAAACTACAAAACAACATAAAATTACACAAATATCAACAAAAGGGGTGCAAATATGATAGATAATTATTAACAAACAATAGATGTAACTTTATTTATTTATTTTTTTTTATTTTTTTGTATTTTAATTTTTTATTTTTTATTTATAACTAAAAATGGGGCACGAATTCCCTTTGATTGGCTAGTTTAATTTCCACGTACGTGCGATTCACAATCAACCATTATCTAAAGAATGACTATTCTTCACTAACACTAATTTGAACCAGGTTGTTTTGTGTGTGGCTCCGTTATTGATTAAATATAACTAAATTTGAAACTTGCCGTTGACTTTGACTCGGGGCGTTTTACGTGTGGCTCTGCTTATTTTCCTGATTGTGATCATGATAAAGAAAAAAAATAACATTTCAGATGGCTTTTTTGTAAACAAGAATTAATCAGGTGGTAGAGATTTTTTTTTTAAAGTGTGAATATTGATTGATTAAATGGAGGGAAAAAAGATTTTTTTTAAGATATTGATCGAGATTATTTCTAAAAAAAAGATCTTTTTCTGAACAAAAGATCTCTTTTTTCCTTTTAAAGAAATTAAAACTCAAATTTGGTAATATCAAATAATTTGGACCATCTAAATTAGATCTTAACAAAATTTTCCCTCAAAAAATACATATCAAATACCAAACCTGATCAGATTCACTGAAAAAACCTATTAATGAATTCATCAATTCGTTAAATCTTTCACCATTTTCCCAAATGTCTTTGGATAGTTCTTGATCGGATAAAGGTGATTCTCTTGAAAATTGAATCAATTTTCTAAAGAGGCAAACATCAACTTCATTGTTGCCTAATCTTGCCAGGAGTGTAACAAGTATTAATTTTTTTTCTTGTGCAGAGGTGGGTAACGGTGAATCTAAACCAAAACCTATGATTTCAAAAAAAAAAAAAAAAAAAAGTATATATATATTTTATCTTTTTCTGATACCGTCATGAATAAAAATTTAAAAAAAATCTTTAATAATACAAACGTTCGCTCATTTTGATTGCTCTATCACGAGCACCTGGAGTTGAACATCCATTCCTAGCTGAAGAATCAGGGGACGATGGTGCTATATCAAATCTAGAATCAATATTATTTTTTATAATTGGAGAATTTGTTGAGGACTGGTTTTCTACATTCATATTATTATTATCATTGACAGGTATTAACTTTTCATCTTTCTCATCTATCTTTTCTATCCTTTGTTCTAGTGATAAATTTAGAGGTCTGTTTTTCATGTTTAATGGAGCAGCAGAAAAAGGTTGTTTTATTTTTGTATCATTATTGTTATCATCTTCAATTTTGAATCGTTTTTCTGGGTCGGTGTAAAAAGGATTATTTAGATTGCCATTCAAAGTGTTAGATAGTTGTGCCCAAGTGTCTTCAGTAATAATAATGCTGGTTGTTCTGTTAGCTGCTATTTCATCAAGATCTCCTGATATATTTTCCTAATTTAAATTATTTAATAAATTTTTTTTCAAAAGCTTTAAATAAAAAATGAATTACTACTATTGTTGATTACTATTTATTATTTAAATAAAACAGCATTATCTTTTATGCTATTGCCATTATCTTTTAAATGAATACCTCATCTTTTATTAATTGTTTTTGAAAAAACACATTTTACTGTATATATTAATATACATATTAATACTAATAACACATGTCAGGAAAAATATTATTAATGTGCTTTTTATCACCATTTTTATTGATTCCAATCAGAGGTTGCAATAGTTGCAGCAGGTTATATGCAGGTTGAGTACAGTAAGTACAATTGTAGGTCCCACACCCAACCCAAAAAGGCATGTAAATACAACTATCACTACCAAAAATGGTTAAAAATAGTTTGTACTATACTCGCTGCATGAAATGTACTGTACTCAATCTAATACTACTGGTTACAGCATTAGACAAAATTTTTTTGGTTGCAACCTCTCGAGTTGTGACTTCCTAGCTGCAGTGAATCATCTTTAGTAATTTAAATTAAGACATATCTTATAAAGTAATTTACCTTATTGGAGAATTCAATCAATTCCTATGTCAAGCTTTTCATTTGGGGGCTGTTCTAGGAAAAAGTGGGTTTCGACCCTCAGATTCAAAAATGAGATATTTATACCAAATTAATCTA